AGAACCCCCCCCCCCCCGCAAAAAAGCCAGAACAAAACAAAAATGCTCTTTAGTGAAAGAGACCACGTTATTTGGACTCCACTCCACAGCATTTGTATAAATTAGGTGCTTCAAACTTTAGATAAAAGCACCAAACCCACCCCCCTAAGTGGCCAGCCCATACAGATGTTGGGCGAGCTGGGTCAAAATAACAGGATGCCTCTAATGCTCCTAATGCCCTTTCAAGCTAACACTGAGCACAGGGCATGTGCTGGGCTCAAAACAGGGGCACGCAGAGTTTAAAGTAAAGTGTCATTTTTGGTTTGGGGTTTGTTTTTTTTTGGGGGGGGCAAAGTGGGGGCTACATCTGTAAGCAGCCTACATTTGTATCATCAGAATCTCTGCAACTGTCCTAAGGAGGTCCTGAAGTGACAAAAATCATCCAGGACTGGTACTACTAATGCCTCATCTGATGAGACAGATCAGTAAGCCTTTGCAATTGAAGGAAGATGCTAGGCTTTGTTTAGCTCCCAGGTCAGGTTTGTCTTGGTGATTTCTCCCAGCTGGAGTTAAGAACCAAATTAAGATGGAATTCAGCTACTAAGCAGTTTCCAACCTGGTGCAATGAACAAGCAAGACAACTGACAGAGAATAAGGGATTCTCTGCCATTTATGCTTTCATATAGAAGAACAAGGAGGTACAAGACACACACAACTCCAGCCAGTGCTATTCAAAAGACTCTGATTTTGTGCAAGTGAGGCATATGCACAGACAGATATTCAGATGATGAAGTCACCAATCAAGTTAAGTTTTGGTAAAGTTATAGGTAAAACAGGAGTTTACTATTCACTTCAATGAAGCCAGGATGTCACCCTCTTTGCCCCTCCAGCCACACACATGTGCACCAACTGCCCCACATAGTTGTAGAGGATTACTACAGTGAAAAAATATAGAAAAGTAGCTCAACGTATTTCTGTAATAAGTAAATAAAGGATAGTTACCATGTTGAAGTAAGACCTAATTTTGACCCCTCTTGCCAGATCCCAGACTATGACATTGCCATCATGGCCAGCAGAGAAGAGAACTCTAGGATCAAATGGATGAGGTTCAAGAACAAACACTTCATCCTCATGTCCCTGAAATTAAATATATATTATTTTAAATGTGCTGTTGAGAATAAAAAAAGAATGGCTGAAATTATATAAACAGATACAATTATCACTATAGTATCAGCAGTATAAACATGCAAATAGGTCATAACAATGTGAACCTATATAAAAATGTCAAACATACAACAGCAGTTTGACAACTCTACTAGCTTAGCTTTTCTCTTTGTGGCCCTTCATCCAATATTCTTCTCTGTTCTCTCTCAGGACAATTTGAAATACATTATTATGAGCATGCCAGCTGTGGGATCCCTGGGTCCTCACAGCTGAGACCCAGAGCTCCATTAGCTGTGAGACTCTCAGTTCCAGCTGCAGGGAGGCACAGCCAGGACCAAACAGCTCTATGTGAGACCAAGGATTTCACATACCCCCCAAGCCTAGGGGATCACAGGATCCACAATCCCCCAGGCTCAGAGTAGGTAGGTGGGAGCCCCGCCAGATGCAGGGACTCTCAGTCCCAGCTGCATGTGGTCCCCCATGGACAGGAGCCCAGTCAGCAAAGAGGGCTCCCAGCTGTGGGTGTCTGCTTCTCGTAGATGCAGGGAAACCCAGGACTGGGCTCCCTCTACACTGGTAATAAGATGCGATTAGCTCTAATGTGCAATCCCACAATTGTGCCTCCCACCACGTACATGTGGCAAGGCAGGAGTGATTGTATGGATCACACATTAAATCCAATCATGCATTTACCTGCACAGGTAGAGGGGGCCTCAGGAAGAGTAGTGTAAGTAAATGTAAAATAATTATTTCATGCCCAAAAGATGAGGGTGTTACAAGGACTGGTTTCTGTGATGCAACAGAGGAATTAATGCACCCCAAGTCAGACTTTCACAGCAGTACCAAAGATTCTGTATATTTGTATAGCAAGAAAAAGAGGTATGGGAATATTTATGCACAGAAAATTCTTACTTCTTTATTACGTAAGAATAACAATTCACATTGCCAATAATTTCAAGACAGCAAAACCAAGAATGGTGTCTCCTTTCTCACTTATGCACACTTATATCTCCAAAGCAAGCACGGCAAATCTCTGAAATGTTAGTTCAGGGTAAGTATCGGTATGTGTATTTCTAAATTAGATTTCGATTGAAACAAAAAAAAATTAACATCTACAGCTAATAATTGGCAAGGTGTGTTATGGTGACCTTCAAAAAGGGAGATATGGAGTAAGTTTTACTGGCCTCAAACATGGTATGCATTTTCATGTTGAAAATAAGATCAAGAACCTTACCATAAGGACATGAATAAGTTGGCCAGTGAAAGAATTCCAAACTTTTAGAGTCATGTTATTAACTGCAGTTATAACAGAGTTGTCATGGCGGTCCCATGCCACCATTGTTACTTTCAGTTTTGTGATTTTGTCTTCTACTCCTTGCAGACTTTGTCTAAAAGTAAATAGCAAAAAGGAGTTTCAAAACAATTAAAATTAATTTGCCAAACCTTTCCCTTTGTCCAGAAACGTTTTTTTTTTTTTTTTTTATATAAACAGACTCAGAATTGCAAATTTTTCAGTGTTTACATTTCCTACTGAAGGCAATAATACATTTCTGCAACAACATGCACAACTGAAAAATTAGACATATGATGGAAATAAGTGCAACAATACATGCCCAACCAGAAAAAAAACAATTCAGTGTTCTTAAAGTAATTCATAAAGTGGTATTCTAAGCAGCAGCAGGTTTCACAGGCCACACTGATGCATCTGTGTAATTTTTATCTTCACATAGTGCCCTCTGATACCACTTCAACCTATGTAAATCGAATGGGACATGTAGCAAGGTAGAAAAATCTGAAGAAAAAAAACAGTCTGCATACATAGGCAATTTTGGCTTACGGAACCTCTATTATTGGTGATTATATGTAAAAAAAGTATTGTCCTAAGGCTCTGTCAATCATATTGCTGGGGTTGGAGAGAGGGGAGAAGAAGGTCACCTTCAAACGAAAAAGGTCTAAGGTAACGAACATGGAACTCCACAACGTCTTATATGCAAAGAATTTTGTAGGACACAGCCTCACTTACGGCAACAGGTGAAGTCCAAGCTCCATCAGTGTCACTGGGAAAACCCACTGACCTCAATGTGGCCAGGATTTCACCCACTGTTCAGAGCCTTACCTCCCTCCCATTACGCCTGAAAGAGTAGCTCATCTCAAATGTCATGTTTATTAACGATTTTGGATTATAATTTGTATGCGTTTCTTATTATTTCCAAATTTATAAACTTTAAAACACTCCTCCCATCCCAGAGACTATTTCTGTAAAGTGTTGGGAGTACATTCAGTTGTTATCCCTCCAGGTGGTCCTATGCCTTACAAGGACCTTTGGGAGAGTGGGAAAGAAAAGGGAGGGGAGGGTGGAGGGACATGGCAGGTGGAACAGTGTTAACACTTACCAAGACATGAGACAGGAAAGGTACCTCTATGCTACAGACCTCAATGTAATGGAGAGAGAGCTTATTTAAAGCTACATCTTTGGGATCTAAAGTACCAAAATCAGTCCACCTCAACTTATCTACAGGCTTGACATTATTTAAAAAAGGGAAGGGTTTGCAGTATAGCTGTACCAGCAAATCCTTTTAAGACTTGCTTATTATACCAGCAAGACAATGTTTTTGTCAATTCAGATTATCCATCACCTAGTGTTGTGATACTGCCCATATTTTTAAGCAAAGCTGGACCTTTCCACCCTGGTTCCAAAAACCTAGCTACGAATTTTAATGCAGATATCTAGAAAGTCTGGCTTGATTCATCCCTTGAGCAATGGTAGTCACCTTTTTGACAGGTTTGTCTCAAATCCCTGACCTTCTCTCAATGGCATTCTGATCCTCACCCCCGCAGAAGTATACCTGATAAAGAGTTTGCACAATGGGGCACTGAAAAAGGTGCCTGAAGCTTGCATGCCACACACAGCAGTTTCCCATACCACAGATGGCCAACCCTGGCTTGAAGGGTTTAAAAAGCAAGGCTTTTTAAATGTCTTGGTAACAAGAGCTAAAGTATATGTCAGGTGAGCTAATTTGAACAGCTGAATATCTGGTCAGATATCTAAAAAATAAAATTGGAAAGTCGACGCCAATACAACACGATCCACACTTAAGCATTCTGAAGTTATTCAACTGACGCATCGAACATTTGGGTTGAACAAGTTTCCAATATGCACCACAGATACTGTGATAGCAATCTGTTTCGTATAACTTACCCTGCCGGACGAGTAGCCATGTCTAACAAAATACTCTTCCATTCCCTTCGCTTAAATTGCCAGATACGTGCTGTCCCATCACGACTTCCACTTACAAACCTACCCAAAAGAAGAAGTCACACCTCAATATCATATACAGGTAAGGAGGACAGTATGCAATTCATTCCTATTGTTTAAATCTGTAATATATTACTACATAAATCTACCAACATATAGTATTTCCAAAATTCTGCGCTGATGATTTTTAATGGAGCCCACTTCATACATCTAAGACAGACATAAGATTGGTAAATTGTATTCCTCCTCCTGAACTACAGCCAGAAATAACTTCCCAAATATGCTAGTTGCACATGGATTTGTATGGTACCCTTCCACCTTCTGGTCAACTACTAATCTTGGAAATTGCCATACATGAGACTAGCTTAGAAACAACACTATGTGGATTCTATACAATTGTCCCCTCACTGGAAACAGTCTAAATTCAGAGGTTAAGTAGTGCATAATGCCAGGATGAGTTAACCTGGAAAAATAGACACCTAATTTGTACATGCAAAACCTATTTCTCAAGTAATTTGGTACTGCATATTTTCTAACTGTCACGGTATCTAAACTAACCATTTCTCCTTTACAACTCAAATTGCAGATGATTATGGTGAAGTTTCCCCAAGGTCCATTAAAGCTATTTATAATACAAAAAAACCCTATATTAAAAATCCACCTCCCAAAATAATTCACTGTCAATGAAACCTAATTTCTTTCTTTAGCATCTTCTGTGCCATGGATCCAAAAAATTCTGAAGAACAGTCGTATCAAAATATTCAAAACAGACAAAACGCCCAAGTCTTTAGGTAGGCCTATGCTTGGATTAATTTTGCCTTAAATCAAGTCACAACTGATTAAAAGAACCAGCTAGGATGAGTAAAGTACTATATTAGAAATAATTCTGAACTCTGCCAAGCTTTTGCCATATCCTGACAACACAAAAACTGGTCGTTAAATAATGATTATGCTTTTTTTGTAATGGGAGACAATAATTATAAAAGTTATACCATTATTGTTTTAAATAAAGGTATTTGGTAACTTTTGAGTTATCACTATTAGAAGGACATCTACAACATAAAAAAATACAGAAAACTACAAAGGATACAACAGAATATTTATAGTGAACTGTAGAAAACAGCTGACATTTGGTAGTTTTAATAAAGCTGGAAAGCCTGCTCTGAAGTAAAAAAACCATTCAAACGTTCATTTACTTACCTATTACTACTGTTAGAAAACTGAATGCTGTCAACTTTATCCTATGTAAAGAAGAAAGAAATTAACAGTGATTCCAAACTATCAGTGCATTTTAATCAGATACTTATGTATTTTTAAATAGTATTTACAGTATGAAACTCCAACTCTGATATCTTCTCTGGCTGACCTGATCCAAAGAAATAAACCCTAATGACGTGATCTGTACTTCCAGTGGCCAGAAACATTCCACCTGAGAGGGACAAACACAAATAAACAAGTCATGAGTAAAAAGGAAAGGTAACATTATCTGAATAATGACAAAGCTCTTGAATGTATAGAATTCATCTTTCCTAAATTTACATTTACTGCTTTTAATTGTTTAATTTTTATGTCAAATTTCAAGCTACACAAAAAATCTGTTACACTGAGCTTGTCATACCGTTTACATTATTTATGTCACAATGACTAGATAATCCTAATTTTTTCCTCAAAACAACGATGGCTACATATTAAGTAACTTTTAATAGGCAAAACAATTGTAGGACTGCTTTTAGAAGATCTGTGGAAAAGAAAATTAAATTTCAAATTAATACGGAATTTTTAAAATTTTCTCTAGTCATTAGAAGTAGAATCTTCAAAAGCGTAAGTGACTTGGGAAATTAAGTCCATTCTCAAAAGAAAAAAAATAGTTAAGGTATTTACAAGTTAAAGTTGCAATGAAATTTAATAAGAAGGTAAACTTGTGAATGTCTTGAAAATACATCTTGGACAATTTAGCAATTTTGTTTGTACTGCCTTAGCTAAATTTTGAAAAATCATGTTTCTTCTAGTGACCAAGAAAAATTCAAATTCTTCCAGAGTTTGGAAATTGATGCTTCTTGTCCAAGCCAAAACATAAGCCAGGGGTTTTTTTTTATTATCTCCCTTATTATCAAGAAATACTAAACTTAAAGAAAGCTACAGGTCACAAAAATGTATTAGCAATGTTTATATCAACTGATTCCCAAAGATGCCTATATAACAAGTATTTATGTACAGATTATGAAAATCTATTATCCCTATCAAGTGCTCTTATCCCCACCCCTTAATCTCATCCAAACATCAAAAGAAGTCATACTACTGTACTATACTATGGTCTGCTTTACACCTCATATGCCTTGTTATAAAGTTTATACATTAAAGAAGAATAAAGAAAACTCTGTACCAGCACTAAAAGAAGAACAGATCATCTGGACTCCCGGCCGAGGGCGTTCTGTAAACTTTGCTGGCCTTGGACTACAAATATAAAAATAAGTAAAATAATATCCTAAGGGGGTTACTTGCAGAAACAACTCTCTCAAAACTAAGCACAGAAAAACAAAATTAAACATAAAAGAACAGATGGCTGCCCATCTATAAACAATTTAGTGTCATGCTTCATGATCTGATCTTTAGGATATAACAATGGCTCATGTAGACAAAATTATGCATGTAACAGAGTTCTGGGATCACAGAGATAGTTCATTATGGAGTTTTTTGTTATTAAAAAAAGGAAGAGAGAACAAAAGAGAACAAGTGAGGGGAGAGACTTGTGGTTAACTATTAAGTTTAGTCTTAAATAATACATGACCAACTCTTCCCCATACTAATTGTAAAACAACAAACAGGCTTCTTTGAAGAATTAAAGGAAAACAAAAATTAAAAGTTCTCTAATAAAAACATTTGGTGTAAAGAAATATGTTAATACTCGTTTATGCAAGCTGGCTAGTTTAAGAAAAATATGTATCCTTAAGTGGCATTAACATCTTATTATTCCCAAATTTAAATTAGCATTTTGAATTCCCATGTAGTTCTCATCTATTCTTCTACTCCATTTCTTCCCTTTAAGCATTTCAAAACCTGATATACACATAGAAGTAAAAACTAAAACAGGATTTTAATAATCTAGCTTTCAGGTAAGAGTAAAGAAAATCTGTATTTTTTCTCCCTCAACACTCATGTTCATTCTGCACACAAGGTGCAGCAACAGCGCTATAACATTTCACTGGCAAGCTATGCTAAAGAAAGGAAAAACGTAGACTACACATTGTTGTTGTAGATTTCTTACACATGTAGGCTGCTTGCAGATATTAAAAAAAAAAACAAAACACACAAAACCCTATGCTTTACCGGAAGCAGCAGCATGTTAGTCTGACCCAGATCTGCAGCATCTGTACAGACTGGGCACTTCAGCAGAGCTTTTTGGCATTTTTATCTAAATCCAAGTGAATCAGCTATTAGATAAAAGCACCAAAAAAACCCACTAAAGTGCTCAATCTATAGAGACATCAGGCGAGCCAGTTCCAACTAACACGATGCCTCTTCTGGGCATGTGCTAAGCTTGGCACAGGAGCACACGGAGTTTAAAGCGCCATTTTTTGTTTTTTAACATCTGCAACCAGCCTTAAAATAGGTAGGATTTCAGCTAACAGAATACAGAAAAAAGTATTCATTACTTATCTGAAAAATTCCTTTTTTTGAGTAACACGTCCCAGAGATCCACGCAGCCACTGAGGCAGATTGAGCCTCTTCATCACTTCTAAAAAGCCTGACAATTATTACTCTAACACACCAAGGACACTTTAAGCTTTTTTAAGTACACTTTAGTACCTGTGTTCATGCAAAGCAAAGAATGTAGCGAACAAACAAATTCTGAATACCAATTAATTGCTGTATGCAATTCCCAAACAGGCAGCCATTGCAACTGGGTACGTTCTATAAACTTCATTATTCTAAGAAAATACCTAGGAAATGTTGGGTAATTCTTACTATTAATGAGATTCAAAATGTGTGACACAGGGGACTTTCATAGCAGCAGCCACTCGGGGTGAGAGAACTATTATATTCAGAACATTACAACTTTTTTTTAGGCACTACAATATGGAGCATCCCTACCCAAAAAGGTGGTATCCATTCATTTTACATCCAGCTTGCAGAATTTAGAGAAAGTATGAAGAGAGAACCAGGCAGCTGCTGCATGCAGACTTGATTGTGAATACTTTAATTTTATGGAAAGTATAGCCCTTATATCTCAAGGTGAGTACTTCTAAACAACAGCTTGAAAACTGAGGTCATCAACAGAATAACCACTATAATGGTTAAAAGGTACTAGAACACTATAAACTGTTCAAAATCTATGCCCAGTAGGGGTAATGAGAGCCAATTTAAGGACTCGTAAAGAAGCTTTCTTCACTTCCAAGCGTATGTAGAAGATGGGCTGCTGTTAAAAAGAACTAGACAAAAACTCTCTCTTTCCCATGGCTTTAAGAATGCAAGGCCGATAAGATCTCCAAATGCCTGAATTATCAAGCCTAACCAAAGCTCATCTAAAGGAATTTGAAAATACTGATTCAGATATTGCGGTGTTACCCTGGTCTCTGAATAAACAAAAGTTACATTTGTTTAGAAGTCAAGAATAAGGATACTACTTCTGCAGTTGGTGCAGCTCTACTCAAAAGCTATGCAGAGGCTCACACAAGGATTCCAAGTCCCTCCTTCAACAATATGTCCATTCTTGAAGAAGCAAAGATGGGATATACTACGCCCTTTTCAGGTGACCTGAGAACTAATGCCTCCTTGTCCAAAACAAGACTGTAGGAATCCCTGGTGCCTGTTCTCATATGATCTTTCACAGCCTTTGGGCAAAAATAAAGGAGAGAAGGGACATAGGAGTCTTTTGCAAGGTGTCATAGATTTCATAGACATTAGGGCTGGAAGGGACCTCGGAAGATCATCGAATCCAGCCCCCCGTCCAAAGGGCAGGAAGTCAGCTGGGGTCATAGGATCCCAGCAAGATAAGCATCCAATTTGCTCTTGAAGGTGTTCAATGTAGGTGCTTGAACCACCTCTGATGGCAGGCTGTTCCAGACCTTGGGGACTCGGACAGTAAAGAAATTCTTCTTTATGTCCAGCCTGAAACAGTCTTGTAGTAGTTTATGACCTTTCGACCTTGCCATCCCTTGGGGCGCTCAGGTGACATCCAGTGTCTTTGTTTTGTGATCCTGCCAATGTGAGAACACCACTGGAAATCTGTACTATTTTGGAAAACTAAATCTCTAAAACCAGATGCAAACGAAGCTTGAAGCATAACTAAGACATCAATATATTTCAGTGTTAATTCAGCCCTCCTACCTGTTGGGTCATTTGGTGGTAGATCACAATTAGTCAAGAAGACCACCACTCTCATGGAGAAGGGAAGATTGCAACCACTTTAGGAGGGAAGATCATTTTGACTGGTAGCTACCCTGCTCAAAACTTCTGGCCTTGCCTACTGATTTTCTCTAAACAAGGATTTATAGGACTATAAAGATTTAAGCTTGAAACTAAAAAGGAGTAAAATAATGTTTAATGTTTCCATTTACTCTGATGGACCTTTTTCCTTCTCTTAAATCTCTCATCAGCTACACCCTTTCTGAGTTTATTCCTTCTTTTTCTGTCCATCTCCAAAATGGTTGACAGGACAAAACAGACAGATCTAGAACTATATTATCACTTTCTCTAATACTGTTCTTGATTTTACTCATCAGATGAAAAACAATACTCATGAAAAGATCGGGATGGACTCTCCCATGGAGAGTACCCTCTGAAAACATGGCCATGTAGTTTTCTTGCCCTGAGAAGATTCAGGCTGAGCATCCAAGATGGACTGATCCTACAATGGGGTTTCCTAGAACCTCAAGATTCATTTGAAAGATATTTCTGTATGACTTGAACACGCTGACCTCATGGGTCAGGACCAAGATCCAAACCTTGACATTTAAAGAAAGTCTCTGGTCTATCTGTTGTACTAGGAAACAAGGCAGGGAGATGTACTGTGAAATGGACAGTATATCTGGGCCTGAGGATTCTATCTAGAACTTGTGTATGACTATGTTAGTGCTGTTCTACTACAGAAGCATAGTAGATGGAGTAGGATGACAGGAAAGGGGCTGGGCAAGAGATTTCTATGGCCTTTTAACACTGTGCTTCAACCTGCAGTCATGGGGGAAATGGTATGGAATGGAGGGAATGGCTAACTTGGTGCCACAGTCAAAATATTTTTGCACTTCTTATCTTTTGTCAGAGTTCTCCAGCTTGGGTAAGAAAGGTTACAGGAAACACTATTCTAGTCTGGACACTTGAGAAGGACCTGGGTCTCTACAGCAGGGGTTTTCAACCTTTTTGGATCAGTGTACCTCCAGTGGCCTAACATGGAGCAGGGGGTGGCGGGGGAGGCACACGGCAGAATGAGGAACAACAGCAGCTGCCGCATGTGAGCTTCCCCCCCACCCCACACCCGGCCGGGCAGCACCTACGCAGGATGGTGCATGGTGGCGCTCCATCCCTGCCTGCCTGTGCATATCCATTAGGGCCTTCTCACATACTCCCGGTTGACAACCCCCGCTCTACAAAACCACTCTGAAAGTCCAGCCATTTAATCCTTGAGGTGCTACAAACCTGTGTAGATACAAGGAAAAAACAGAATAACTAGAGAGAAAATTCACCATTCTATTGACCAATGCTGTGTTATCCTGTTATAAAGTAATGTATATCCCTGAGGTAATGACCTTAAATGAAGTTATTTCCAACTCCTTATTCCCGCCCCCTCCCCGGTGCAATCCTCCCACACTAATTTCTACATTTATAATATTAGTTGAAAACGTTCAATCCTTTCTTTTTCCTTGCATCACCATCCGATATTGAAGCATAAAAATGCATCTGTACCCAAGCTACCCTTTTGAGTTCTCGTATTTTATTGATATTCTATTAATATTAGAACATACACTGATTTCTAATATTCTACTTGCCTTTTTAAGTTTTGCTCTCTTACCACAAGCTGTTCTGAGCCTCTGTTGGGAGGCGGAAGGGACATGTAAACTGCACACACACACACAAACACACACACTGTTGAGGAAGAGGAGGAAATCCCCTTGCCAAAAAAAGGAGACCTTGTATACTGACAGACATACTTTTTGGCTGCTTTAATACAGAGGGGAAAACTATCATCACATCAACTGTTATTTATTTATTGGACTTATCATACTGGTCATATACAATGTCCCTGAATAAGATAAGCACCTTTTATTTGGAAAGGCAGAATGAAGAAAAAGTGTTTTCCGTGAAAATACAAGTAGGAAAGTAGCCGAGTAACAGCTTCTGCAGCTGAAGCCTCTGTCAGGGAAAAAGAGAAAAGTGCACATAGCCAGACACTATGAAACTCCATGTACAGCACTACAGTGTTACTTTAACTTCCCTCCAGCAATGGCAGAAACTGCAAT